CCTCATCTAGAGCGTTCCAGCGACACAGCTGAGAACACAACAACCGAGAAACTCTCATAGGCGAGTGAGGCCTCATGGTGAAATCTTAAACGAAGTAGTTTCACAGGAAGCATATAGCTAGGAGCAATGAGTCTTAAATTTACCCTCCCTCTCCTCTTACCCCCTCCTCCCCCATAATATAACTCACCGACGGACCATGTGCCCTCAATTGACCCGTCGCGTACTTGTCGCTCAGCCCATCGATCAGCCTGACGAGGATGCAAACAGCATGTTTCCTCAAGTTCATTTAGAGGGCTGATTGACCAAAGTTATCGAGCGTTCATGCATATCGAGGGAGAGACTATTCTTTTGGGTAAAGAATTTTAGCCCGAGCGCTAAGCTAACCCAATGTCTTCCTCACTGAAGCCAAAGTTTTGTATGTCTAATCGACATGTCGACCTCTCCGCGGTCTCCGGAGTCTTACGCAATCACAGAAACTGAGCGGATCGGAAACGGAAAGAAGTTGATGCCACAGTCAGTCCGACAACCCCTATTAGTTCTGCATCGACGAGGAACGGGGACAGACTAGTGGTCAGACAAAATCAGCTAGAGTATAAGAGAAACAATTAACAAAGGCCGTTTCCCGGTGTAGATGCATTTGTGCGACGTTGACGCAATTGACAGTGCGCGTTTTCTGTTATTCCATCGAACACCGGGTACTCGGCGAATCCAACCTAGGTATTAAAAGCAACTACGTCAGAACCGGTCGTTCGGATCTCTTCCCCTTTTTGTTTATTCGTGTTACGAAATTGCGCGAGGTATCTGCTCAACTGCCAATCTCAGGTTTTAGTGTCTAGACCGCGGTACTCATGTGTATTCTTTTCGACACGTATTTACACCCAAGACTGTCCACCGACAGTACGACCTTCGATTTCAATTATGAACAGGTTGGCGCAGAGACGCTGACTTGCGCGTGGGTTAGTTTCCAGCGGTAATAGACTTGCACTGCATCTACCGCACTCTCTCTTTCCTCGCTCACTTAGGCCCGGTGTCAAGACATAGTGAAAAAGACCAGAAGCGGGATCGGGCTCGAGGCCGCACTCCCCTATGCGTGTTTTCACACCTGGCTCGCTGTGTGGGAATGCCGTAATGGTTACATTAAGAAGGAGCCATTGCAGCCTGACTCTCAGTCTGCCAGTCAGCTACTCCAAACGATGAAATACACACCAGACTGACCGTGCGGTCCGAGCTGTCAGTT